TTTTTCATGTAGGCATAAAGGGCATAGGTCATCCCAAGTTTTACAAGTTCTAGTTTTGTTTATAATTTTCCATTTTACTTTTGGTGTTTTATTCATTTCCTTCAAGTGCCAAAAATATTTAGACAGAGATGTCTGATTTCTTTTATTAATATTGTTGAAGGAGCTCTTATGCTGCCTCCAGCTGGTTTTAAATTAATTCTTCGTAGACCCAATGTATATTATATTAGTATTAGGACTCTCAATGGATGAGATAGTACATTGGTATACAATAGATTTTACGCGGCATTTATTTTCCAATGGGCAGTCTTCTGGGTTTCTACAATCACATAATTTTTCACTGTTTTTGTCCAATTTAAGTGTAGGGTTTTTATTAATACTATTCAACCATTGGGGTTTGTTCAGGATTTTATTATTGTGTTTTTATTATACTGTCTAGATTGTCAGTGCAACTAACCTCTTGTATATAAACCCTAAGTCAAATCACCCTCCATCCATAATTAAGCATATACCCTCATCAATAGAGAATAGAATCAGCATTAACTCCGCTAATAAAGCCATATTCCAACAACACAGTAATTTTTATAACGCATCCCTAAAATGTAGTGGATACAAAAATGTTAACATCAATTATAGAAACAATTGTACTAACCAGAAGAAAAAACAGAAAAAGAAAAATCATTTGGTATACCCCTCCGTTCAACCAAATGGTTAGTATTAAGCTAGGACATGAATTCCTAGCTTTAATTGAAAAACACTTTCCTACCAACAGTAGACTTAGTAAAGTATTTAATAAAAACACCCTAAAATTAAGTTACAGTTGCATATATATATATGCTGTTACATGGATAGTTGTTTGAAACCACGGGTTTCACGAATCCGCCATTATCACCTAAAGTGGTTTATTTTTTCAAAAGTGGATCTATTTATCCTTTTTTGTGTTTGATTAATTGTGTGAGGCGGAGGGTGAATTTTTTTTCCTGTGTTTGTTCGGGATTACACACACATATATATAGAAACACACACATACAGTTGTTTGCATTTTAGTTCATACATACACATCCATATACATAATCTTAGATTAGACGCAGTTACACATTCATGTGATCGAGCTCACGTATTTACACAATTATCATTCTGTCTGTTTCTGTGTCAAGATTGTATATATATATATATATATATATATATATATATATATATATATATATATATATATATATATATATATAAGTATATGATTGGTGTATATGGAATAAATTCCAATAACCAGCAATTACTATTCTTAAAAGAGTGCTCAATACAGAGTAGAGCAGATATAATTATTTATTTTAAAAATGATGACATAAATATGTTATAAAATCACTACAAAAATAGCCATTTTGTTTCAACACCTGCGGTGTTTTTATCAAGTGATGATGTTAAATATAAAACAAATGGTTTTAAAAGTTTCAAATTAATTAACGATCCTTCGCAAGGGGAAAACGTTGTCACAAAAGCTAGAAACTTTAAAACAATTTATTTTATATTCAACATCATCACTTGATAAGACACCGGAGGTAAGAAACAAATGGCTATTTTTGTAGTGATATTATAAATTTTTATTTTAAAATTTTCAAATAAATAATATATATATATATATATATATATATATATATATATATGTGTGTGTGTGTGTGTGTGTGTGTGTGTGTGTGTGTGTGTGTGTGTGTGTGTGTATATATATATATATATATATATAGGGTGTCCCAAAATAATGTATGCACTCTTGGAATCGTTGTAACTTTTTTTCAAAAACTTATCAAATTACAAGGACCTTGAAATGTAAATCTCAAAAATGTGGCACTTAAGGACATCAGTAATTTCATTTGTAGTTGGAGCCTTCGGGTTGATTGGAAAATCTTCTGATAGACTCACTGAAGGGATCCCTTGTAGACCATGCCTTAAAGAAATACGAAGGTTTTACATGCAAGTAAAGCACATATTTCACGAATGACTTTATCTATGTAAAATATGTGTGAGCTTCGTTTTTATTTTTTTTATTTTTTATTTTTTTGCTCAGTGGAAAATGTCATTATGCCATTTCTGACCTTAGATTTCTGGTTGGGACCCGGAAAATGGTGAGTATACACCCGAAATCAAAGGAAATAAAGTAATAATAAAATACATAACTTCATTTGTCTCTTTTTTTGAGTCAACAACTATAAATCAACATTATTTACATTATTGGGACTATTGTCCTCATCTTTATCGCCATATTTATTACAACGTTTCAGTCCTTCAGTATCTATCTATATTTCTGAGATGAGGTATTAAGTACACTATTTACATTATTCGGACTAGTGTCCTCATCTTTATCGTCATATTTATTACAAGGTTTCGGTCGCTGTACGCTCCGGCCTTCTTCAGGTGGTTGGGATGTCGAACTGAACCCTTTATTTCGCTCACTGGTGTAGACTGTTCGAGTTCCACGTGCCATGTTTAATGAATGTCAGTTATCTCCTGTTAATTTTTCCTCTGAAAGTTCTCCACTGCCTTAACTGGGTATTGAACTCAAGCTCTTTGGGTCCTGTCACTGGATCTAACCAACGCCTTTATCCACTGTGCCATGTGTCCTTGAGGACATCTGTGTATAGGTTTATAATATCCAGAAATTCATACACAGATGTCAGGACCCAAAGAGTGTGAGTTCAATACCCGCTTAAGGCAGTGGAGAACATTCAAAGGGAAATTAACAGGAGATAACTGATAACTGACATCCATCAAACATGGCACGTGGAACTAGAACAGTCCACCCCAGTGAGCGAAATTCGGTTCAGTTCGACCTTCCAACTGAACCTGAAAGAAGGCCGGAGCGTACAACGACCGAAACGTTGTAATAAATATGGCGACAAAGATGAGGACAATAGTGCGAATAATATAAATAATGTTGATTTATAGTTGTTGACTCAAATTAAGAGACAAATGAAGATGTGTATTTTATTATTATTATTACAGTCTTAACCTGTACAAGTCCAAGATTAACTGTTATCTTCTTCACATATAAAGATAATCTGTGACTAATACCTCTACCTTGAGTGCAGGTTATTTCAAAGTAGAAAATATTTTTAGAATATTAGAATGCTTTGTTTGTTTGATTTTTTTTACACTATTTACATTATTTATCCCAACGTTTCGGCCTTCTTCAGGTGGCTGGAATGTCGAACTGAACCCTTTATTTCGCTCACTGGGGTAGACTCTTCTAGTTCTACGTGCCATGTCTAGTGGATGTCAGTTATCCCCTGTTAATTCCCCTCTCAAAGTTCTACTCCACCTTAACCGGGTATTGAACTCGCACTCTTTGGGTCCTGTCACTGGATCTAACTAACGCCGTTATCCACAGTGCCTTGTGTTTCTTTTGTATTGTTTTTTTTAGATGAAAAGGATTTAGTGACGCAGGTCTTACTAATTAGCCCACAGCTGGTGGGAGATAAGGTGGATTCATACCTTTACGCGTAAATGAATATAAAGGGCCCAACTGGAATTGGAACTCGGCACTCCGATTAACAAATCCGAGCCATTATTCATTACGCCAATTGCACACGTAAGTTTACAGCACCTGGTATTTCCAAGTGGTTACCCATCTTATTACTGACCAGGCTCGACGTTGCTTAACTGCGGTGATCATATCTACCTCAGAAATAAACGGTAGCCTCCTGCGGGAATATCTCCTGCATAGTCAATCATTAATCGAAAGAAACATGATCGCCCAAGTGTGTATCATTATTTTTCCGATCAGTATGTCACGGTTGATGAGCTCCCCCACCTTCTTTAGTCGTTACTAGATGCAGTATTATTGTTCTCCAAATTGTTTAATATCATCTTTTTTGTTGTTTTGATCGCTGTATTGAGATTAATTCTCCGGCTTTCTGTTTTTAATTTTTTTTTTTTCGATATTTCTTATATTATTTGAACTACTATGTTTCTTTTTTTTATTTGCATGCGATCATTATTATTGAGCCAGTGTGTTTTCCAACCTTCCTCGGATTATCAGAATTTATGGACTATAATATTTCCGATTTCTTTTAGGTCATAATAATTTGGCAGCTGAGATATTTTTTGGTTTTGTAAAATGATTTTTATTTATCAGTAATTGAATGGCATTCTTTCTTTCTTTATTTGCTTCATTTTCTCTTTTTCTTATTTTTTCTCTTCACATTATTTCATATCCATCTTTCTTTCTTTCTTCCTTTCTTTCTTTCTTTCTTTCTTTCTTTCTTTCTTTCTTTCTTGTCCTCTACAATATTTGGAACATATCTTTCTTTTATTCTTTCTTCTTTCTTTTTTCGCTTTGTTTTTTTTTTAATTCTTCCCTTCACAATATTTGATCTCCCTTTTTCTTTCATTTTTTCTTTCATTTTTTTCTTTCTTTTTGTCTTTCTATCGTTCTTTCGTTCCTTCTTTGCTTCGATTTCACTATTTCCTTCGAATTTGCTCTTTTCACAAAGTTTCGACTCCCTCTTTATATCTTTCTTTCTTTTATCTTTCCTTCTTTCTTTCTTTTACTGTCATGTGCTTTCTTTCTTTCTAATTTTTCTCTCCACTGTGTTTGGACACCAGCTTTCTTTCTTTCTTTCTTTCTTTCTTTCTTTCTTTCCTTTTTTTCTTTCTGCCTTTGCTCCAATTTCGCGTTTTCGTTTTTCTAATATTTTTTCCCTTCATACTGTTTAATCTCCCTCTTTTCTTTCTTTCTTTCTTTCTTTCCCTTTTGATTTACATTTGTTATTCTCAACTGTTTCTTTTTACTGGTATTTTCATCTTTTCTTTCTTTCTTTCTTTCTTTCTTTCTTTCTAATTTTTTCCTTCAAAAGCTTTGGTCTCCTGCTTTCTTTTCTTTTCTTTTTTTTCTTTCTTTCTTTCTTTCTTTCTTTCTAATTTTTTCCTTCAAAAGCTTTGGTCTCCTGCTTTCTTTTCTTTTTTTCTTTCTTTCTTTCTTTCTTTCTTTCTAATTTTTTCCTTCAAAAGCTTTGGTATCCTGCTTTCTTTTCTTTTCTTTCTTTCTTTTTTTCTTTCTTTCTTTCTTTCTTTTCCTTTTGATTTACATTTGTTATTCTCAACTGTTTCTCTTTACTAGTATTTTCATCTTTTATTTCCTTCTTTCTTTCTTTCTTTCTTTCTTTGCTTCAATCTTACAATTTTCCTTTTTTTCTAATCTTCTCCGTTTAAAATGTTTCTTTTCCCTCTTTCTTTCATAAATTATTTCTTTCTTTTATTTTTCCCTTTTTTCTTTCTTTCATCTCCTCTTTTTATTTTTGTCTAATTTTTTTCCTCTCAAGAAGTTACGTCTCCCTCTCTCTCCCTCTCTCTCATACATTCTTTCTCCTTTTCTTTTTCTATTATTCATCATTATTTGTTTATTTCCTTGCTCCAAATTCGCCCTTTCCTTCATTTTTTTTTCTTATATTTTCACTTCCGAATATTCTTACTGTCATTTCTCGATTCACTGTTCCCTCTTTCCTTCTGTTTTTGCTTCAGAAAAGTCAACACGAAGTCAGCCATAACCAATAGGTACGCTTCGCAAAACGCCAAGAGGAAGCGGAGAACTCCAAAATGGCGGAAGTGATGTACCGTCGACGTTGTCTCTCTCCGAGGCTGTTTTCGTAAAAGCTTTCATGTCTCTTAAATCCCAGCTGAAATTGCGCAAACCTTTCGAGAAAGTGTTTGCCGAAACAGAGAGGATAGGTCAACCTTAAAACACATGGTGACCCCGCTAGACCAACGCCGGCCGTGAGGGGAGAGACAGAAACTTGTTTGACATGAATAAAGCAAGGAAGCGAATGTACTGTGAGAAAGGGTGAAGTCTCGGTAGAATCGAGTGGCGGCATTTTACAAAGGGGGTGACATTTAATGAGTCGTGAGGAAAAGGTCCTTGTATTAAAAGAAAATAGAAGGAATTTAGCATTTAGAAACACACACGCATGGAAAAACAGGCAGTCCACTCACACACAAAAACTGTCTCTCTCTCACTGTTGAAACTTGGATAAGCATGGAATAATAATAATACAACACAAAATGTACGTAAACAAAATGTATTGAAACAAGGAAAAGGTACACAATATTTACAGTTAGTTTTGGTATATTCTTGGGAAGACTGTTCCTGCATAATGGGTTGACTAAATCGCAGTCGGGCAGAGTCTCTCGATTCGATGTCTTCTTCAACCCCCGTCTTCCGGTACCAACCCATATTTATATGGTCGGTACTCCACTTATGTAAATTAGGTGTATCGTACACAACACTCACACACACACACACACACACACACACACACACACACACACACACACACACATACACACACACACACACATATATATATATATATATATATATATATATATATATATATATATATAATTAGTTAAGTTACCAAGAATTTGGTAAACCGAATGGGTAATTCAAGGAGGATGAAATCCTGAGAGCTCAATGTGAATACAGAGCTAGTATTTAATGAAAAACAGAACACTTTAAAAAGGACCATTAAAATAATTTATTTCAACAAAATCCTTTTTAATGGACATTAAAAAGTTTTGGTATTTTTATTAAATATATATATATATATATATATATATATATATATATATATATATATATATATATATATATATATTTGTGTGTTTGTATATATATATATATATATATATATATATATATATGTGTGTGTGTCTATATGAAGAAATATAGTTTTAAGGTGTGCTATATTTATAGGATAAAGTGTTCAATATCAGAGATGGAGCGGATGTAAATATAAATATAAAAGTGATCATTGAAGTCAACACTCAGAGGCAATCGTCAAGCCGTGTATGCTGGGTTTTTCCTCGGCTATTTATATAGATGGGTCAGTGGTGCATTGTGGGTAATCTATTCTGTTAATTTTACGGGAGTGGCTTGTTTGTTTATCTATTTATTTGGGTTAACTTATTTTACTTGTTTTTCAATTTCATTTTGTACTATTTATTCTATTCGTTAAAAATACTCAATCCAAATAAATAAATTAAAAACTGTCAACCTGCCAAAATAACAGAATAGACTGCGGCAAGCAACCTAAACATTGGACGAATAAATAGCTTTTTACAACATCAAAAGCGAAAAGAATAATGCAAAATGAAAATGAAAAACAAGAGAATACAACGAACCTTAATGAAATTGGAAATCTGTATTCCGAATTCCACTCCCGAGCCGTTATCGATTACACCACCCGCACACCCAAGATTACCTGATATACCCAAGCGGTCACCCATCTGGGTATTGACCGGGATCGACGGAGCTTAACTTCGTTGATTGTACGAGAATATGACACGGCTAGAGCTAGCTGTAAAGGTCCGAACTTGTGGGCCTTAAACACGCAATAGAGCTTATTTGAATGGGAATTAGCGATGGAGATGTCATAGGTGAACAGGGCGATGAACTGCACATTTGCGACTTTGTGATATTTTACTCAAGCACTTTCAACCGTCAGGGTGATAGACAATGTTTTTTTGCTACATCTTGGCATATTTTGGAACGCTGGGATTCAAATTAATCCAAAGTGACATCATGTGTGAAACGGTTACAGGGAGCTAGACCTCAACGGAAAAGAATGCAACAGCTATTTATGCGTAATTTTATTCTCTCCTTGTAGACATTTTTAAAAAAAATTATGAATATATTATCAATTTTTTTCTTTATTTCTTTCTTTCGTTCTTTCTTTCTATCACTATGTATATGTGTGTATGTACACTGAATGGCGGTGGAAATAAAACAGAGGCTGATGGAAACTAAAAGAGTCCTTTTTGTGGATTAGTTTTAAAATTTTATGTTACTCGGATCCACTTATATTATATTACAACGGATTTCCTACCTTTACTACACACACACACACACACACTCTCACACACATATATATATATATATATATATATTTTGATTTATCATATAGACAAAAACTATTTTGCTCACTACAAAGTTACAACTTTCTTTCAGTGCATTTCAACTGCACTTCGTCGAAGTGCAGTTGAAATGCACTGAAACGAAGTTGCATCTTTGTAGTGAGTAAAATGGTTTTGTCTATATGATAAAATTATAATAACAGAATAATTATCGCTCTACTATCGGTATCGAGCCCTCTGTTGAATTAATGCTGTGAACGTTGGAATTTATATATTACTTTCGTTCTCATCGCATCGTATATATATATATATATATATATATAGCTGGCTACTCTTATTCAGGGATACCCGTCTAGAAGGGTGGCTAGCCAATCCCTATTGCAGACGTTCGCTCAGGCACATTTGTGTTTGCACAATACCCACAGACAACATGCGGTTTATACTGCAACTCTATCGACAGACCTTAGTTACAGTTTCTGGGAGAGAGGGTGTTATCTAACGTGATTAACAATTTCAACAAGGCCAGCACGCTTAATCTCTCTGCGGAGATGACTTGTGGCTCTTATGCTAGCACGGCTATGGACGGCCCACAAGAGTTCCGTCTACACGATTTCACACACAAGGCTTGGGTCAACCCGTAGTATGATTTTCAGGCATTTTCCAAAGGTGCCGCACGCTGGAATCGAACTCGATCCAGTCCGATAACATCAGAAAGTATTAGGTTGGTGCAAAAATAATGACGTAATAATGTCGTTTTTTGATGTATTTTTAAAGTCAAAAAACGACATTATTACGTCATTATTTTTAGACCAACCTAATAGCATTCCTGAAAATTTGAGCGATATTGGCACGATTTATAACGTAAGAATCCCTAAAAAAACCCTTTGATTTATTCAGCTAGGAAGAGAACAAGTTAAAATCTTTTTTGTGTTAGACCCTCTGACTTCTCAAATGAGCAATGTTGAGAGGAAAAAGATCATTCATGCCTTCAGTAATGCTACCAACATTCATACACTGGCTTTCATCTTCAAAGTCCATTGAAGAACCATCAAGAGAACCGTGAATAAGTTAAAAAAATTGGGAACAGTCGCAAAACTGGACCAGGAAGTCACAACAAGAAAAGGGATCATTACTTCAACTAAAAGCTAAAGAGGTCAATTAGAAAAAATCCAACTCAATCCATAAGACGTTTGGCGCGTGAGGGAGGAGATTCAGCAATGAAAGAGGCTACAGTAGAGAGGGAAACTGGATCAGGAGGTCACAACAATAAGTTTTTAAATTTCAACTTAGAGTTCAATACATTTTCCTTGTTCAAAGTATAGTCCAGTGGTTTTATAAAAACCTCAGAGAATTCCAGTAAGATATCTTTAATCATTTCTAAGTTACAACTTTTAAATCTTAATCTAACAAATGGACAATTTTAATGTTACACCGGTATATATATATGGTATATATATATATATATATATATATATATATATATATATATATATGTGTGTGTGTGTGTGTGTGTGTGTGTGTGTTGGGGGTGCGTGTGTGTGTGCAAATATATAGAAAAATAGGAAAGAACCGTTAGTGAATAATCCAAAGGTCTTTAGTATTTTGTTTTCATTTTTAAAAAACAGTACTCAGTACATAAGTAGGGCCTAAATTATAATTATTTTTTAAAAAAATGTGATTCCATCGCTACATAAGAGTTCTCATGTTTCAAAAACCGAAGCTAAACAAACAGCACTAATTCATCCTCAAGCGATTTTTGGAATAACTAATCTTGAAATTTACGGATTTATAAATTATAAGCATATATATTCGTAATATTAATTACATGAAAACGGGGAAACCAATTATTTTTTATAAGGGGCGAAAGGGTGAACATATTGTATCAACATATTAGTTACTTTAGGAAAGAAGTTAAGTTAAGGTAGGGTCGGGGTGTCTTTTTTCAAGCGAATGATGACATTAGTTTGAAGCATATCGTCTGGTCTGTTTCAACGACAAAGAGTTTTTGGCCTTATTGGTACGCCGTTAAATTTGTATATGTATACCTTAATTAAATTTTTTCTAAAAGTTTTTTTTTGTATATAAATACGTCGTATTGAACTACAATTTGTTTTTTGACGACTACATAAAAGGTTTTTCTTATAATTGGTTTGAGCTTTTAAACCTTTTGCTTGAAATTGAAATTGTTTATAGACTATGAAATTTAAAACATTTTAAGCTAATTATTTAAGGCGAAAATTGTAATGTCCGCAAAAAACCGTTAACTTATGTCTATGATTTAATAAATTTTCGTTTTTTAGAAACTTAGTAATGTGTAGTTTTTCATGTAGGCATAAAGGGCATAGGTCATCCCAGGTTTTACAAGTTCTTGTTCTATTTATTATTTTCCATTTTACTTTTGGTGTTTTATTCATTTCTTTTAAATGCCAAAAATATTTGAATAGGGATATCTGATTTCTATTTCTAATATCATTGAAGGAGCTTTTGTGTTGTCTTCACCTGATTTTAAATTCTTTCTTCGTGGATCCTATATATATCATTTCGATGTTAGGACTCTCAGTGGATGAGATTGAACATTGGTATACCACAGATTCTATGCGGCATTTATTTTCCAACAGGCAGTCTTCAGGATTTCTACAATCATAATTTTTAATTATTTTTGTCTAATTTTAGTTTAGGATTTTTATTAATAATATTCTGGCATGCGTGTTTTTCAAGGATTTTATTGTTATGTTTTTATGATTCTTTCTAGATTTACAGTGCAGCTGTAGCTTTATTTTAAGGTGTTTTTATTAAAGATCTTGCTAAATCTACTATCAGTAGGAAAATGTTTTTGAATTAAAGCTAGGAATTTTTGTTCTAGCTTAATACTAATCATTTGGTTGAACGGAGGGGTATACCAAACGATTTTTCTTTTCCTGTGTTTCTTCTGGTTAGTACTTTTGTTTCCATAATTGAGGTTAGCGTTTTTGTATCCACTATTTTTTAGAGCTGTGTTGTAAAATTACAGTGTTGTTGGAATATTTCATCATTTGCGGAGTTCATGCTGATTTTTTTCTCTATTGATAAGGGTATATGCTTAATTATAGATAGAGGGTGGTTTAACCTAGGGTGCACAGACAAGGGGTTAGCGTTAGGTTCCCTGCATACGTTGTTCATTAAGTCCAGAGTTACGTCGAGGAAGTTTATCCATTTCAATTTTGTATTGACTGTAGATTTTTAAATTTAGTTTTCTGAAGACACTATATATCATCTTTCTAATTGTATCAATTTTAAAATTTGTGAAACTCCTCACTACCATTAGCCCCTCATCTCTATATAGCCCGATGTCTTTAATGTCTAATTCACGGTGAACGGTCAGGGTGTTTAGTATAAATAGACCGACAAGATCAGAAGATTCTGCAGAGTTTAAAGATCCCATGGTGATGTCAAAATAGTATTCAGTGTTTTTAATCCATTGGTCTCCATTAGGAATGAGGACAGATTTTTTTGCACTAAGAATTATGTTCATTTCCTCTTCTGTTAGGTCTGAATATACAGTAGCAAACTCAAGGGCAGTCGTGAATAGATATTGACTGAAAATAATCCACAATACCGAACTGTATCAGGGTGCAATCAAGCTTATTTCTGATACTGGTAAACTAATTGATGACTTCTCTGTTATTAATCCAGAGTGTTAATCCAAAGTGGTTTTTAATTTTCTTAGCAATCCATTCTAGGATTCTTTTGCTTATCTTTCCGATGTAGGTCGGGTTGTGTTTATCATTTTATAAGTAGGGTTTTCCTCAAAATATGGTACAAAATGCTACATCACTCTTAAGGACCACAGACCAGATTTATTACCCCTTAAGCAGAGGAACATTTTCTCCATCAACCGAAGAAGAACTTGAAAAACTAATCCCCCCAAAAAAACCCAATGATTTAACATAAAAAAACGCATGGAAAAAGTTAATTCCTTTAAATAATATCTGGAAATCACCATTCTTCGCTTGATGAAGTGACAAGACTCGAAACGCGTGTTGCAAAAAATATGGAAAATAAAGTAAAATATATATTTAGAAGAAACACACATTATAACCAAAAACTTTTGTGGCCTCTTTATTCTCCTTAAAATATACACATTTCTTTCGATGGAACAAATATAATACCTCCCTGACACACACACACAGGCACAGACACAAATATATATATATATATATATATATATATATATATATATATATATGACCAACACAAGGAATGTTAAAAGATTCATGTTAAAAAGATAACAAATAAAAAAATTAATTAATCTACAACCCATTGTGTCTAAAGATTTTAATTTTTTTATTGTTCAATATATATATATATATATATATATATATATATATATATATATATATATATAGAGAGAGAGAGAGAGAAAGAGAGAGAGACGCTATGATCTGTGTTGTATTTGTTTTGTACTTGATGTCTATTATATCTTTATGATGATTTGGAATAGATATCGAGGTGCCAGTGTTTTTTTTTTCTGTGGAAATGTTGTAGTATTGTTCCTGTTCTATACAAGATGGTGATGGTCGTTGTCATTGCATTTCTCTACGCCATTTTTCCGCAAGAAAACCTTTTCAACCGTCCATCTTCAGTCTTCAATTTCATTGGAATTAATCAGGATGATGCTTTTGACAGTTGCATGGTTCTATATATTCTTGTCTATTTATATTTACTTTTTAATTCTTTTTTTTTCTTTTCTTTCTCCGTTTCCATTTTTTTCTGGTCTTCCATCCAGTCGCCATATTGTGTTTGTTTCTTTCTTTTTTCTTAGATTCGTTTTTTTTTTATCTTTAACTTCTTCCTTTCTTCCTTTTTTCTTTCTTTCTTATATTCGTATTTCATTATCTGTAATTTATTTCTTTTTTCTTTATTTCTTTCTTTTAAATTATATCATCCGTGTCTTGAAAACAGATACATTTCATACCTTCCTTCTCTTTTTGTTTGTTTGTTTGTTTGTTTGTTTGTTTTTCTTTCGTTTCTTTCTTTCTTTCTTTCTTTCTTTCTTTCTTTACTTCCTTGATGCTTTTTTCTTTCTTTCTCTCTTAATATCTTCATTTCTTTTACATTATATTATCGGTGTCTTGGAGAAAGAGAAATTTGTCTCTTTTCTTTCCTTGTTCCTTTTGTTTTCCTCTATTTTTTCACTCTTTCTTTCTCTCCCTTACTTAATGTCTTTCTTTCTTTCTTTCTTTCTTTCTTTCTTTCCCTCGCAAAGACATTGCTTTTTTAGTCTGCTTCAATTTGATTCCGTACTATGATTTCTCCTTCCCGCACTTTTAATTTCTCGTTCGAGCTTTTACTTTTTTTTTCATTCCACTATTTTCCCGCCTTTTTGACTTCTTCCATTTTTATTTTTCTCGTCCGTCAATCAAATATGCATAAGCGATGCAATGTCGAAAACAAATCATTACCTAGCTGAATTCTTTCCCCAACGTTTTAATTCTTTTGTCACTGTTGCTCTGGCGACGACCAGCGATTCCTTTCTTTATAAGTTTCCATAATACAGGGAATATTTCGGTTAGTACTGCTGTTTCTGTTACAATGGCTGAATAACATCTACCACTATCTTTGTTCATATACATATATATATATATATATATATATATATATATATATATATATGACATGTGTAATACAAAGTTGTCTAAATTATTTTATATATAATTATTATATTATTACTATATATTATCATATATTCTTTTTATAATTATCATAACTGAATATATGTATATATAAATACACACACACACACATATGTATATATATATATATATATATATATATATATATATATATATATAAAAACATGTGTAACAGCAAAATTATCCAAATCCTTTGACTGTAAAATTTTCTATATATATAATTATTATACGTAATATTATTAACATATATTATCATATATACTTATTATAATCTTCATAACTTATATATATATATATATATATATATATATATATATATATATATATATATATATGTGACATGTAACAAAAATTGTCCAACTCGTTTAACAGTACACTTGTTAGATTAATATTTGAATCGTTGTATCTAAGAAATGATTAAAGATATCCTACTGGAATTCAACGAGGATTTACTAACACTATTGAACTTTAATTTAAACAATAAGAATGTATTTAGCTCTAAGTTGAAATGATGATCCCTCTCGCTGTTTTGACATCTTAATCCAGTTTTGCTGTCTACTGTTCCCTCTTGTTAAAACTTATTTACCATTTTCTTGGTGGTTCTTGAATGAACTTTAAAGATGGAAGCCAGAGTATGAATGTTGGTAACATTACTGAAGGCTTGAATTATGTTTTTCCTCTCACCATTGCTCATTTCGCAATGGGGTTGACACAAAACTATTTGAATCTGTTCTCGTTCTAGCTGAATAATTCCAAGGATTGTTTCCGTAATTCTTACGACATATGATGTCAAGATGCCTAAACTGTCTTATTTGAAAACCTTGAAAAAAGAAAGTCACTTAGTTTAGTGATTTTCTAGATTTTAAACATTTTGTTGGATGGATAATTGTCTTATGCTATTTCACGACTTTGGACAATTTTGCTGTTCCATCCGATATATATATATATATATATATATATATATATATATATATATATATATAAATTTAAATAAAAACAGACCACTTTAAGGTTCCATGTAATAAATTATTTCACCACAGCCTTTAAAGGACTGCGGATCATCAGACTTTATTTCCAAAGGTTGAAAAATAATATATATATATATATATATATATATATATATATATATATAGATTTATCAATATCTCTATATATAATAGAGATATTGATAAATCTATAAATTATATATATATATATATATATATATATACATATATATATATATATATATATATATATATATATATATATATATATTTAACAGATTTTGTCTACCAACTTAACGCTGAACATACAACAGATTTCAACTTTGAAATTGCGACGAACTGCAAACTTCTCTACAATTTTGACGTATATAGAAAAGTTACAAACAAAAACAACCTTTTCAGTTTCTACCCAAAACACTCCTCTAAAATTAAATCTAGTATAATTATAGATTCTGCTTAAAAGCATTAAGAATTTGCAGCCCTCAATATTTACTGAAAGAGGAAACATATATATAAAACACATTCAAAAACATCCACTATCCATATCACTTTATCCACAACGCACACAGAAAGGCATACAGAATATAGAACCGTAACAAATATAACAACATGTTCCATAATAATGAACTCTGCAAAAACAGATATATAATACTACCGAACATCCGTCACGTCCTCTATCTAAAAGAACAACATATCCCTTCTAAAGTCACCCAAAATAATCACAACCACTTCCAAAGATATTATGGATATAACCAGATCTAAAAACTCTTTCAGAAGGAGGCATATATAAAATGATTTGCCAAACTGTTCCTCATAATACATTGGAGAAACATGCAGAAATGTAAAAAAACAAACGCATCTATAAACACAAAAGGATCCTCATAAGTAACAATTTGACAAATGTACTGGTCATACATAGAAACAAATTCAAACACAATTTTGATTTTAAACATGCTACACTCATTAGAAAAGAAAATAATTCACTAAGAAGGAAAATCCTCGAGAGTGCTACTATTGAATATTATTCAAATATGAATCTACGCCCGGTTCTTTCCCAATCTCACCTTTCCTAACAGAATCACTACCCTCCCAAGCGTAATATACACAGCAAATATATTAAGAAATCCGTTATCACAAAAATGCAAACAATATTTCAACATAAGAAAAATTCTGTTCAAACATAAAAAATAAATGACGTAATTTTTCAGTTAACCCAATGAATATTTATGTGCGTTTTTAAATTCTTCTAGTAACTAACAACATTTTATTTTTATTTTATTTTTTTATTTTTTTTTTGTTTATAGATACTTTGTTCTAATAAATACATTTGGAAATTTTACTTTTGAAAATGTCTGTAGCGGACGAAACGGATGTGCTAAAAACTTCGCACAATTTCTTATTGTCTTTCTTTTATTTATTTATTTATTAATATATATATATATATATATATATATATATATATATATATATATATATATATATATATATATAAAGATATTTTTGTAGGTACAAAATTTAATGATCGAAATAAAAGTGTAAAATTTAATATTACACGTCATATTAAAACAATATTAAATAATAAAAAAAAAAACACTCAACAACAAGGGGGGGTGGAAGCAACCGGTTTCGCTCCGGCTCATCAGGCTTCCACGGGAGATTCAAAATTAAAACAGAGAAAGGTACATTCAGAATAGGTGGAAAAAATACCTATATGTACATATATATACCTGTATATATGCAAGAAGGAACTAGAGGCAGATGACAGCGAGTCCCAGCAAACACTCACGTTGTTTGCACAAAGAAGGCTTGCGGGACCCGATGTAAAGCGCCTCCAGAACCTTAAGATAAAATACGGAGTGTGAGCGGGCCAACACGGTGAACCAGTCGACACTGAATTTGGCAGCACAATCTCTGCTATTTAAAAGATGTTCGCATATGGCGGAACTGTAGGTGTTCGAGACGAGTCCACTCGAAGGCAAGGTGTGGTTTCTGATTTTAGTAGGAACGTGCTGCTTTATTCTAATGTCTAAGCGCACAGTTGTTCTCCCTATGTAGTTGGCTCCGCAACCTCAAACGTATTTGTAAACAATTGAATTAATATGGTGGGGAGTAATATCTGCGTGTAAAGACGTTCTCCCTCCCAAAAGGACTGGTGATTTGATTCAGGTCAAGAAAATCATAAAGAACACCAATATCATTCGATTTTGTGAAGACATGATATACCAGCAGGTTTACGGATAATTAGAAAAAAATCACCTTTCAACAAGGCAACAATCCAAAACACTCATTTAAATTATGTTAAAATTATCTCGAGTGAAAAAGAGGAACTTAAATTTGGAAATTATGACTTGTCCACCTCAACCTCCTGACCTCTCCCCTATTAAATTGACATAGGATGAATTGGATAGAAGATAGAAGAGAATACTCAAAGAGTGAGAGTGAGCTTTGTCAATATTGGAAAAATGCTTGGGGTGGTCTGCCATTTTTTTTTTTTTTTTTTTTTTTTGTAATCGAGTTCACCCCGAACAGGGCAGTAAAGCCACTTAAGACAAAGGCCACATTTTTGTATTTACAAAATAATATTAGTTTCATCTATGGTACAATTATATATATATATGATGACTAGTTAGGACTACATAGAGACCTGAGGTATTATGGTGACTGTAGTAAGAATATTAAGTAAGAATGTGTTGTCTTAAGTAAGTAATACTGTGGTATATTTAGGTTAATAATCGTGGCTAGCTGAGTTTAAGATAAGACAGACTGAAGACCAGCCTTCCACAATCCCCTCTGTTGGTCTTGTGCCACGTTTTTGTATTCACAAAATAAATATTAGTTCCATCTATGGTAAAATTGTACATATGATGACTAGTTGGGATTACATAGAGACTTGAGGTATTATGGCGACTGTAGTAAGAATAATAAGTAAAAATAATATTGTTTTAGTGTAAGAAATACTGTTTGTGGTATGTTTTGCTGAGTAACTAGATCTAGTTAAGCTTAAAATGCGACACATTGAAGTACCACCCTCCCCTATCTCCTCTTTTGGTCTTGTGCTGCATTCTAATATTTTCAAAATAAATATCATTTTCCTCTATGGAACACTGATTTTATGAATTGAATCACGTTGCTAGATTGGTGACAAGGTTTCATCATTTTATAGGTGAAACGGCTAGATATAACCGTATGTTCTATGCTGACAGTTTCTTCTCGCGTAACTCTCGGTTTTGTGAACTCTCTTCCGGCTTCTTATTTTCTAGCTAACTTTGATCTTGAAAGATTTTAACGCAAGGTCATTTTTTATCAGATTTGTTCTTAATTCGTGTTCTTTTATTGTTTTATCTTCCAAGGAGATTTTTTTTTCGTTTTCTCTCACTCAGCAGTTGTTTGCGTCTTAGTGGCTTTATTGTCTTGCTTGTGGTAGAATTATTAAAAAAAATTCCTAATACTCTTGACGGCACTTGTTTACATTTTCAAACATGAGTTTTCTACTATTTATTTTCTAGGCCAACCATCCCAGTGATGCTGGTACATTTTATTTACATCTCGAGGAAGTCGTTTTTTTTTTAAATTCCAAGCAAATGTCTGAAAATTTTTAGTTCCTCCGGCAGAGTTCGGATCCTGCTGATA